CTCTCAGTTACCTGCGGAGTGCCAAACTTTATAAGACGAGGGTATTGACCTTGCTCATATTGGTTCGTTACCGCCAACTCTACTGGAGAGTCCCGCTCTGTCAATCTGCCGCCAATGTGACTAAGCATGTGGAGAATTTTTCTCTCCAGAAAGCACTTGCCGCTACCTTCAAATTTCCTACTTCATGTTTCAAGTTATTTGTTTTCTGCTACGCATATAAGGATCCATGTACATTCTTGTACTTCCCGAACAGCGCTCGAATGTCAATGCCACCAGCACAAGGAGCTTCACTCCTCTTGATGCTGGAATACTCTGTACTTTCCCTTTCTCTCCCTTACGCACTATAACCTTTGTTCACCCCGTCGCAACACACTTTGACATTGCCCTGATGCCACCGCAATGCTCCCTTTGTTTTACCACCACTTTCTCCTACATTCCACAGGAACACTTTGACACGACTTACTCGTATAAAATGCTCATTTGTAGTCATCGAACTTGACAGAACACCCCCAGATTCTCGAAAGTTCATCAGTTCATCATATTAATCGACCTATCTTCTTCGATCTATTCACTTCCTCATCAAACCCGTATGGTTCTTGCTGCCTCCAATGACATTGGCGTGAGTTTTCCTATTTCTCCGTGTACGCCTAAAGTATCAGTATACTAACGTTCGAGGTTAGGATGCGACTCAGATCGTCGACTTAAGCGATGATCTGGTGATCACACGCGAGACTCTTGTATTCTGCTACCGCCAGAGCAAGATGGCTCAGAGTGGCTTCCCCGATCGGACAAGGAGCCCTAACGTGCATTTATGCCCAGTCTTTGCACAGTAAATCATAGATTTTTATCAAGAGTTTCTGTCGGTGAGCTTTAAACCGACCACTTTATGTCCTGCGACTGATGGCACCAAGCGGCCTCGTCACGATCTCTGCAGAGACCTTGACCCCAATCGCTTTATGGTATATGCGCAGCTCAGTTCGTTGGCTTCCTGCTCGTGCTTTTATGCGGGGGAAAAAAGTAGATTAGTAAGAGTTTTGAATGCTGTAGGAAGCGAGTACTGTATTAAAATTGAATCCCGATGTTTTCCCGATCCAATCAAGTATGGTGTCTCCTGTAGAAACAGACCGAGAGCCTCCTCAGTGCCTTCTCTTTATTTTCTCCATTCAAGACACCGGAGATGTCTAACAGTGAATATGTGGTACAGCCTTCCTGTGTCACGGTCGTGACATATTGCAGCTTGAGCGCTAGTCGAAAGCATCATCCAATCCTGGTTGGAATTTTGCAACCGACAGCTGTCACCTCCTCCACCTCGCGGAGAACGGACTTCCTTGTAGTCAGATGACAGATCATTATCACCATACAAGGTCCAATCCTTGTTGGAAAAAAAACCTGCCAAAAAGGCAAGAAATTTTAGTAAAATTGACCCTCGTTCACCCTGCCAGATGTAGCTGAACCAGAAACATCTGACGAGTACGCGATGGTTCGGAGAGATGGATTACGATACCACAAGAACACGTTGATCGATGAGACGTCATTTATCTCGTTGGTCCAGCGCAATATCCTTGTCAGCGAGCAACAGTTTTATGATGCTGTCGACTGTATTGAAAATGTGAATTGTTATTGTTCTGGATATTGGGTAACAATGATTATCTTCGCTTCTCATTTGTGCGACAATATCACGTATCAGAAAAGTCTACTGACCCCAACTCAAATGCGATCGAGTCAGGATTCTACGAAAGCTGTCATCAATGAAACGATGTCCTGGTACTCATCGTAGGTTTCGAATAACTCATCAGTGCTCCGCAATCGCATAACGGCCCAGTGTTCGTGGTGAAGAAAGTTGGGCTGTTCAAGTCGCTCTCTTTCTTTCAGATGGACTGATGTATTTCTGGCGCAACTCTGTAACAAAAAGGGTCATATTAGTGCAACACACTGATCGGTGAGCGTGTAAATGCCTACCACGCGTTTATGAATCACCAGCATGGTCTAGCTTCGAAGACCTTGTGCTGGATACAATCATTGCTATGATCCCGTTATCGAAATCTTGCAAGTGGTGAAGCGCCGCGTGTTTCATTTGAGATCCCATGGCGATGAGGGGGGTGTTGAGCCCAGTCGCCTGACAATGAATTCTGTATCATCACAGAGATCTGGGGCTCTGGTACATGTAAAACGGGGATCAAAGTCAAGCATACCTGCTGTGCTACTTCTAGAACACCCCCATAAGGGTGTTGCGGCGCCTACCTCGCCAAGTTTACAAAAAAGTCATCCCGTAATGGATCAAGAACTATTGCTGCTGAGCGCTGGGTACCAATCCATCCATGGTTTTCGGTGCGTGAAGCCGCATCTACCTCCTTCACTAATGCCGCAACACATAATCGTCTGAAACCTGATGTTGAGATTCCTTCGAGATGATCTCCTCGAGGGCGTAGTGCGGGACGGGACTTACTCATCAACCAGTCGACGAATTCTGATTCAGTATTTATGCCATCGTCAAACTTGCGTATCATGTCATAGAACAATTCCGCTGCTTCGCTCAGTCGACCTGCAGCGCATAGCACTTTTATCGGATGATGATTTGCCATAAAGTTTGGAGAATCTTGCACCACGACAGTATCAGTAGACAGCACTTGCACAGCAGTAAATTTAGCTACCGGAGGAATGATGTCGAGCCTTGGAAATTCGGGACCAAATGGACCGAGGGTCCTTGTATTCGCGAACCTGTAGGTAGATTTCAATCACGATCCATTCCCTGCTGAGTGGACATTAGCCTATGTGTAGGGAATGTAGCGCACGCGTTCAAAAACAACGGGTTATTACACTGGAATCCATATGTCATCTGGAGATCGCGGGGCGCGTATGTCTAACCACATCTGCAGTCCAGTAAGGACACTGCCCTTCCGATTTCATATTGTATCTCTAGTAGGCACATATGATGTCGGTACCGTGACGTTGGAATTAAGCTGGTGACCAAGTATTAGGCTGGAGAAAAGGACATGGATTTGATGGTGGGTTTGTTTAAAAACAACGCTGGGGCACTTTTCACCTTCATTGTTTGAAACTTTGAATCAGAACGGGTATTGCTTCCAGACGTGACGAAGGCAGTGGAACATGGCCGTAATGAGGAAAGTGATAGCGCCCTGCCGCCTGCGTGGAAAGGGAGTGACTAAGCTTAGTAGTACTAGACATATGAGTAAGTAACTTGAGGTGCCATTTTCCAGCAATGACAGCGATGGCAGATCAATTACAGTATTGTATTGGTGCACGGTGTAAACGGCGCGCTCGTCGCTAGCACTATTGGATTATCCTGAAGTTCCTGACTCGGATGAACATGTAGTGGGAGCTGTTATGATACACCATGCCTGCGGCGATGCTTACAAGACCTGGCTTGCTAGTTGCTACACTGGGCTACACGATACCAGTGAGTACTGGTTAATTCTTTTTTGACCACGACCAGACAAAAATGCATACAGATGACTAACCGTAACGAGCTATGTCTTTGGATCCTGAACCATACGACATCCGAGTCGATCATCGAGGATGCTTCACCAGTACAACTCAAAAAGTCAACACCAGAGCATCAATTTGAAGGCCACGAGGACGGTCTTTTGAGTTTTGTCTTCTTGCAACAAAGTTCTAGTTCTATCAACCGCTAGGCCAGTAACTCAGACAGGGAGATAGCAAAGTGTTAGTTGGCGGGCCGCCTGCCTTATTCTCTCGAGATCGGAGATACCTCGCATATGACGAACGTGGCAGGAATCTTGCTTTGTGGATGGTCTCATACATAGCTCCTGAGCTTCCGGTACGTGCTTTTATAACTACACTTCAAGGTGGCACATTACACAGAAGGAAACTTGACCCAGCCGTCGCCTTGTCTTGCCTTCATGCCAGTACTCATGCATTAGACCGCCTTCCTTTTCGCTCACAGAACTTTCACAGGCCGACGCTACAAATATTTGGTTGCACAGCTGTATAGTGATGATTGTGGCGACCTTTTTCAGGTAAGCCTTGTGGTTTGTCATGTAAAGGGGACAGCATGCTCAATGAGCATTCAAAGACTTCTCATGCTTCGACACCATCTTGCACCTCCTATCGTCCCAAGTGTCCTAACTGATCTTCGGCTCGCCGCTTCTGGAACATCCATATACCCTCCCATTATCCATGACCCAATCTTCAGAAGGTCTACGTTACGTACTGCCCTGTGAACCGTAATACTGAGACTGGTCAGTCATCAAGCTCAGCTCGTGGTACAGCCCAACTCGACGCTAGTGAAAGCTACAGCCCCAACCTCAAGTGCAAACGGTGACACAACAACCTGCGCAAGAAGAAGGTCATGATTGTTGTGCACACTGGTGCATCTAATGCTGCATTTCCACTGTTCAGCTTGTTACCTCGTAATAATGCTATCATACCAGGCGTATTTCGCCGTGCCCTTTATCTCGGCTCGGTTCTGTTTTGATACCGTACACGGCAAACCCACCATTTTGTAAATCTGGTGTCAAAAATAGAAATTATATATCCAATATCTCACACGCATCATCCATAGGGTTTTCGCGCGACATACCACGTAAATCATAAATATATATGCGATTATGTTCAAAAATATTTGATTGCCCGGTCTCTGTGCGACTTCTGTAGGATATAAATTAATTATTTAGGTGATATCTGTCCTAAGATAAGATGTTCGTATCTATGGAAATTGTCAGTTTAATGGTCGCCCGCAGATGTAAATGAGGTGTATTGATTGAGACATACAGATTATGTTTTCACCTGCATATCTGAGGCAGCATGTCCAAGTAGGTATGAATGACGAATGTCATGATACATCCGCTATACATGGCGGATATCTCTCTCGGTGATCGGCCAGTAATGCACCACGGTGGTACTCAGACTCGTATACAAAACACGACGAGACACCATGCATTCAACGAAAGTAGACAATTTATATAATGATTAATTGATTATAATTAAATGAGGACTACGAATGAATGAGCGCGCAAACTTTACCATAACAACTTTTTCTGAATTGTTTCCTGCCATACAGGCTGTGAACCTTTCACAAGAGATAGAGCCTTGCAGCGACCAGGGAACTCCTGCAGGTCGAGCTGGAGAAACTCGACCATTGCCCTATTCATTAGTCAGTAAGGTGAATAAACGGTGTACAGAGATATCACGTACTTGCGGTACGCATCTTCATACCCAGCAGTCTGACCTCCTGATTGCTCACGCGCACTTTTGCGAAGCTGCTCCAGCATTGCATCAACATAGTTCCAAAATTTTTGTTTGTTCCATTTTTTGAAGCCACCGTCGAGTCCAAAGCCAGATGTCGCACAATCAGGAGTACCAAAAGACTCGTCAGGGATTTCATTCACATCCGCATCTGTAAAGGGACCTTCGATTGCAGTTGGATCAGCCTGGCGGTCCTCTTCGTCAACCAGATTGTTGGTGACTGCCGCTGCGGTGGAGCTCGCATCATGGCTGGTAGGATCGTTGAGGCTTTCATAGGCACCAGAGCGTTCTTCTTGATCCGCAGATCCCTGGCCTGGGTGATACTCCGAAAATTCATCCGCCAACTGAACCATATCAACATTGAGCGTTTTCTCAATATGCTCTACAAGATCTTGATGGAGCGAGGGGATGAGGTAGGGGGAGAAGGCTTCCTTGAGGGTGAGCTTTTCATGATCACAAACACCGATCAGGAAGATGCGAAGACAACGGCGCTGTCTCAAATTCAGTAAAAACAATCTGGATGCCTGAAGAAACCCACCAAAAATGCAAATCTAGTCCAATGCGAGGAGTCAACCTCCATGCCACTATGTATAAGCGGTTTGAGGGCATCCATGATACTCAATCTCTTGCTGACTGACATGGTAAGCTGCGGATAGAATGATCGCTGTGAACACTTTCTATCTTCATTCATTGAGAAAATACGTACTGTGCTTTTGATTTGGCCACGGATGGTTGACAAAAGCCGTGTGACCAATCTGCCGAGTTGTGAGCGCAACTCAGCGTCTTCAAAGAGTCCCTCAGCGATCTTGAAAAGATCATTGTGCGCTTGGATAAACTCCTGCGGTATGAACAATGAGCATTTAAGGCAATAAGAAGTAAATCCGAACTACCATCACATGTTGATGCGTATCAGTGATATAAGCAGTCAGGTTTGGAGATAGCATACATGCGGTAAGGCGGCTCTTCAGTGCACTCTGCAAATAGTCAGTTATGGAATAGATGAGAACAATCAATCAGTCGCACCTCGAAATCCTTAGAAGTCAGTAGTTTCTCGAGTTCTTGTAAAGTATTTATTTCGATCCCTTCTTCTCGTTCAAGCTGACCAGCCCTTAATTCTAGAAGCATGACGAACAAATCACCATTCTTGGTGAAATTAAGATGAAACTTAATCAAAATAATAAAGGAAGGTAGAATAGATCGTACCTCGATAAATGCCAGCAACTTCTTCAAAGGTATTCCACGTTCAGTAGCAAGCTGTTGTGCATATGTTTTGAGTCGCTTGGTGCGTCTTGGAGTGAGACAGGCTGCATTGGTGCTGGAATCCCTCCGACGCCGAACGCCTGCGCTAATAGGCGCATTGAGATCAGACGATCCACTTGGAGAACCTGGGCGTGAAGGACCGGTCAGAACAATTGAGGCATCTGGAAGAGGATTCAAAGACTGTGATTGAGAGCCTGAGCTGGTAGGCTGCCTGCGAACAACAGGAGCAGAGTGGGTCGAGAGTCCCGCGTCAGACCCAAGCAGTGAGCGAGCACGATGTCTACCATCCCGGGGTGGGGCCAAGCCCTGCACTCGTGGTCCAGGACCGATGCTATTTGCTCTCTGGGAGCCCCCAGATGTTGAGCGAAGTGGAAAGCGATTGAGCATCATCTTGGGAGGTCCTTCCTTGAGTTCTCAGTGAACACCCGGTGAACACGTTCAAGTTGCGCTTCAACATTTCCAACAAAACTTCCCACGCACATGAGCTAAGTTCAGCCACAATTCAAGTACTCAGAGTCGAGCGATGATCTGGATTATGCTATTAAAAATGTGCATTCCTACTACTGATAAAAGCGTGATGCACAGATTGGTGCCTGGCGGATGATTAGCTGCGGGACATTAATCGCTGTCAGGACCTGAGGAGTCTGCTTGGTCTGTTTTCTGTCAATAAATGCTTGCAAACCACTACAATTCGACAGTGAGCAGAAAGCTCGATATCTATTGGATCTGCCGTGAGCTTCTTCAGGGATACCTGGAGGATTCCGCGGGTCGGGGCTGACCCATCCACTCGGGGTTTGTTAGACATGTTGACTTCGAAGGTAGAGATAGATCAGTTAGACCGCTGTGTCATTGTAGTAAGAGTGAAGCTTACCTTCGTATTGAAAGTATATCATGTCCTCGTCGGCAGCTTGGGTGAGCTTCTTCGGGGATACCTGGAGGATTCCGCGGGTCGGGGCTGACCCATCCACTCGGGGTTTGTTAGACATGTTGACTTCGAAGGTAGAGATAGATCAGTTAAACCGCTGTGTCATTGTAGTAAGAGTGAAGCTTACCTTCGTATTGAAAGTATATCATGTCCTCGTCGGCAGCTTGGGTGAGCTTCGGGGATACCTGGAGGATTCCGCGGGTCGGGGCTGACCCATCCACTCGGGGTTTGTTAGACATGTTGACTTCGAACTTAACCAAAGGTGTGCAATGTGCGACTGACCATGTCATCAAATCAAAAATGATATTAAAAATCACTAGGGGTGAAAATATTGACGAGAAGTGTCATAAGGTTGGGGGAAATGATAAGGATGTAACTGATGTGAGTTAGCTTCGAAGGCTGTAGAATACAGGGGATTATGCGCGGGTACTTGAATGGGTGGAGCAGGGTGGGTTAGAGATGAAAACTGACTATGGCCGGAAGATATTGAAAAGGAAGGCACCTGAGATGCCCAATGAGACATTTCTGGGGGTGGCGCAAACCCTGGCGGCGGGAGACGCCATTGGTGTACTGAGGATTGAGGGAATGATGAACTTGAATGACCAGGTGCTTGAGGGGGATTGGGGAGATGTGCAGTGTATTGCTGAGCGGCAGGTTGATGAAAATGAGGATGCGGTTGAAGGGGGCGGTGCAGAATATCTGGGGCATTTGACATGGATGCCTCGACAGGCTGCTGCTGCTTCGTCGAATTCGTAGACTTCACTTGCTTCCTGGATGTGGTCTTGGGCTGTTTCTTAGCTGCGCAATCAAACGCAGGACGGACACCATCGTCATCTTGGGGCACGCTCACTGCCTCGCCTCTGAGCTTTTTCGCCAGCCTCTTTCCCTGCATTTGTCTCACAGCAGCTCTTCGGACAGCTCCAGGATCTGAAACGCGCAATGGTGTCTCGGAGAGGGATTCCGGGAGAAGAGAACAGAGATGCTGGTAGTTATGGATGGAGAACATGTTAAGGAGATACTGTGGCGATATTTGGTGTTTCACGACACTTGCTGTTCGGTCAGTTTGGGTCCGCTCTTGCCACAGATGCTTGGTAGTTAACTCTGTGCATTTTGCATCGAGACAATTGTGCTGAACATTGGCGATACATATGATATCCTAAAATGCGACTTGAATTGAATGCAACAAAAATAAGACGTAGTAAGGCTCACCGTTCCTGACACAATGAGTTCCTCGTCAGTGAGGAGGAGACATGGCAGATGGAGCAAAGGGTGGCGTGCAGGCATGAAGGAAAATGTCTGAAGAGCAACAAATGCGACAGAGTGCCCAGGCGCTGTTGCAATTAATATCTCACAGATGCGTCCAATACGAGTCTGTTTGATAGTAAGTAAACTAGAAGTGACATAGTGGGGAAAGACGCACCTTCTCAAGCGCGTCTCGAAATATGACATGCCCACCCAATTGCGAAGTTTCATGCTCACTAGTCACTACCGAAGTTCCCTGGTAGTACTCGGAAGAAGGAGGACTTTTGAGACCGTTCTTCTTGAATATGTCTGCGCAGCGCGTCGCTTGCCACAGAACGGCTTCGTGCTTAGACTGGTCAGTCACTATAATTCTCCCTGTGCCTATCATAGCACTGTCAGTCTGTGAATGAATTGCAGGATTTGCCATACCTGGATCAGCTAGTTTTTGGTCAGGAATTCCAAGCAGACGAGCTTGTTCAGGATGGTGTTCAAGGTAGGTGAGAACCTGTGGGCCACCATGAACCCATCGTTCTGTATGGGTGTCATACCAATAACCGCCAGTAGCGATGTGCTTGGCAGTGTCGTTGCGAACAAATGTCATGCACGTGTCGCGACTTGGAGCTCGTCGATTGTTGTAAATGCATGTAAGACGGAATACATGATTAAACAACTCATAACGCTCAGTCGAAAAAATAATAGCAGGTCCAAAACGTCGAATGTAAGCTGGGAGGTGAACTAAAAAATGGAATTTCGGTTTGCTGATCAAGATACTGGGTGCGCACTGCGCAGTCACATTGAGAAAATCGCTTATCGTTCGAGCTAGCTTTGCCAAGTAGTGTTCGGTGTTGTCGATTTTCGTATGCCAAATGAGAACGACTAACTCTCCAATTAAGGTCCATCCATCAAGAACACTTTTCGGAACGAGATCGTAGACGACAAACGGCATAACTTGCGCGAGACTCTTGAAGTGCTTTCCGATTAAGCCTCCTTTATAGTGGCAAATGTAGTCGGCATTCAGGGACGGCGCATTCAGGCCATCTCTATCCAGTGAGTCGAGACGTGTCTGAAAACGAGTGAGTAGTTTAGCTTTCTCGAGCACAAACGCAGTCTGTCCCCAAAAGTATTTCACAACGCCGAGTAGAACCGTGTGAAGGATCTCAGTAGGAGTATCCATGTGAACATTTATATCTATGTACCAGTGTGAATTCAACAACCCGCATCAAAATCTGAGAACGCTCACTATTCATCCCTAGAAGGGGATTGATTGCGTCCCGGTGTGTCCTACCTTGCAATATATCCAAAAGCTCTTCCTCCAGCTTTGCACGAACTTCAGATTCCGGTAATGCTGGCTGTCCTACATCTCGTTTTCGTAGCTTCTTGCCCATTTCAACAAGCGTATTGATGATGGAAGATGAAGTAGAGTCCCGGATTCCAGTGGTTGATACGGCGGCCACAACCTTCCCTGTGGCTCCTGAACATAATGCGGTCTCGAACTGCTTGAGGACCTGTGATGTCGTTTCTTCGGGTGTTCGGGGTGTTCCTTCCTGTCTCACTCTTAAGATCAATCTATAGTGTTCATATTGAATAACACACCGTAAAAAGACTAACATATCCAGCCTCAGACTCTTTGTATTCCTTTGTCCCGCCAACATGACAAGTCCTGCAAAAGTAATTACAATTCAGCCCTGCGTGGCTGCATTCCTCGGCCTGCATTGGATTGTCCCCCGCAAGAAATAAACCTTCAGGAACGAGCATGACCTCCTCGTCAAATTTGCAGTCCCACGCAAAGATTCCTGAGTCTGCGGCTGCGCTAATCAATGCTTGAGTTGACTAAATGTGGGCAGCATAGAAGCATAGAACGCACCTGATAGACTCCTTCATCGCATGCATCAATTCCATCGGCGCAGCGTGTGGTGATGATGTTACGAATCGAACACAAAACTCTTTCTCCAGCATCTCACGTGGTAGGTTAGCATTCGACATGTAAATCGCGTGATGTTTATTCCACTGCTTTGAAACATTTCCGGAAACGTCGTCCATGAATATAATGAGAGGGACTGAATAGACCATCCGGCCCTTTGACTTTTCGCGTAGAGGATGTGGTGTGAGCTTCAGGTATTTTTCAGATGACACTAGGATTATGCTAAGTAGAGTCGCCTGTAGCTCAAACATGTACTTACTGGTAACCCCGCATGCAAGCTTGTCCACGAGATCCTCAAAGGAATGTCTGAAGTTTGAAACCGGAACGATCTCTTGTTCATCACTGACGATGAAACCGGCCTATTCAACCTGTCAGTATCTGTCATGATATCTACGAGACAGAGTTAGTACATACGTCTGTGTATTGTACCGCACGGCCCATAGCATATGTTTTGTTCTCCTGGCACGAATCCTGTGAGTCCCTGCCATTCACTGGTGCATACGAGGCAGTGAAGAAGCGTTCTGGGACAAAAAAGCCTCCTGAGCATTCCTGCAGAAGTTCGTTGACGAAATATATTTTGCCGTCCACACGAGCCGCCGGAGGTGACGGCAGTTCTAGCAGCATCTTCTGTCCATTGAAAACCTGCGACATTCCATCTCCTCCATCCTCTGGATAATCTTGCATGGAAAAGCGGGTGAGTGGATTCGCGTAGTCCTAAATGACATGGTTAGCATAGGATAGTCTGAGCGCTTGTAGTTTACCTTTGCAATTGCATGCCAAATATCGTTGATGTAAAAAACGTTGCCGGACGCTGAAGTTACTTTCCGCATTGGATTGCCGACAAGTTCACAGATGTGCTCGTTTGACTCCTTGACAGCCTTGAGAGACGGGACATCATGGGCACCCAGCTCCTTGGCCCAGCTGAGTACGGCTTTCTTCTGCACATCCGAAAATGGTAGTCGTGCAGAGCTAAACAATAACGCAGTCAAGAAGTGCTTTGGAAGCACAATGAGCATCCTCGAATCCTGTCAGAATATACACTTACCGCCTTCGACAACCAAGGATAGTAGGCGTCGCCCGGATTAACTTTCATATTTGCCTTTGTCTTCGTACTAGAATCCACAGGAATTTCGTCTATGATTGCGTCAATAGCACGAATGAACACAGTAATGCTAAAAACTTACCCAGTAGTTCAATGCCAAAATAATCGTCATCTTGCATTCCAATCTCGTCTTCGAGAGCAGCTATGGGCGTTGCGATGATCTTATCGCCCTCGAGTAGCGAAGCTTCAAGTTCGTTGAAAAGCTCTCGCCCACCACCGATCTCGTATACATGGTGGTCTAATGCAATGTCCCACAGCGTAGACAGCGGCATTTCTTCTTCGACAGGTGCAGAGATAGATGTTGTCGGTTTGTTGTAAGCGTCGTCGTGACAGTCAGCAACCATGTCAGAGGCGTCCGAGTCAATATCGGATTCACAGTCGGTCGTCTGTGTGGGTCGTCGAGATTCTGGAGGGAAGGGGTTTTTGGACACCGATATTCTCCCAGAACGCTTCATTAATAGGTGTCGGATATGCACGGCAGTGTTGCAGTGACTTTGGATATGTCTGCGCATCATCATCCGCAATTTACCCTTGAGCTGAGGGCAGACTGTGCAGACGACAGAAGTCCGCGCTGGATTACAGTATTGTAAAACTATAAATACAAGAATTTTTAATAACTCAATGACTCTTAAAAGTACTCACCTGTCCCATCAACAAGTTGTGATTCACCCATATTGATATTGACAGCGCTGGCTGCTGGTCGAGACTCGCCAAAATGATAAGTCCAATTGATCACGTGTCTGCTTCGAGTCACAGTTGTGACGGTCACCAAACGTTCAACATTCACTCAACGCTCAACGACCAATCAACCTGCAAATTGTCGATAATATGGATCAGTGCCATTTTCCAACCACCTGTACTAATACTGCACCATCCTACACAGTTCAAACTTCAACGTTCTACCCACCGATCCGCACGCGGAATACAGAAGATGTGTCGTTGCAACCTTTGTGCATCGGAATATGTTTTTCAGGTGATCTTCCGAGACACCTTATTCGCGGTGTCGTTGTACTTCTCCTTCCTTCCCCTTCGAAATAATTCCTGATAAACCTTTTTAGCCAATCCAAATATCAGTTTCAATCGCAGAGGAGTATAGACCATATATGACTCCTGTCGTGGAAGCTCTCACTTTGGACGGATATCCCTATTCCGAATGTTCCTCGACTTTTGACGATGTAAGTGGGCAACTTTCTCATGTCGGGATCAATCTAAAAATTCTAGGCCCTTGATTCGAGCGAAAAGGGACACGAACTATCTTACAACAATGTCGATGTCGATATACCCATACCGTTCCTCCCGTTGCCGTCGAAATTCAATCCCGTGGATTCCTTTCATTGGTTGCAGCTGTCAGAGAAGATTCAGCATTGGCTGGTCACCATACCGGCAGCGTCGCAGCATTGGACATGGGGCCGTGATGCGTTCTGGCTGGCCTTTGTAGGTGCTTGCCCAGATTTTCCACGCGGCCAGTGGCCAATGTGGGACCCAAGGATTCCCCTCGAGGGACAGTTCATTGAACATTGGCTTGACGCTGACAATTTGGGTGGAGATCAAATTGGGGAAAACTTACTAGATCACATATGGACTGAGTTCTGTGCTCACGCGATGCTTTTTCACCCCGACCCTTTGGTATCAGTTGGTTCAGAATAAATATTTCATCGTGTTTAACTTGTCGCGTTATATAGTGTAGATTTACTGGCGCTGTGGTTCAACTTGACAATATTGTTATTTGATACTTTGGTTAATGTGACTTGTTGTTTTGACTTGCCCAGCTGAATCCTGGCACGTGTACTTTGAGTCTTTGACCGTTGCGAATATTTTATGAGTGTTTTCATGCGCAGTTATTATGAATATATCGTGAATACGTCGTAAATTCGTGAGGCTTACATCCAATAGACGTGCAGCTCGAGATATCATCCTTACAAGTGGGATTACATCCGACTGATGACCCAAAACTGACGTGTTGATGATCTCCAAATGAGCTAATCATGATATTAGTACGATTTCTTAGTAACATTTTTCTCGCGACACTGAAATGACACTTAGAAAGTGATGCGAGATGATATATTTTGATTTTGTACGAAATTGGCTCAGAATACCCAAGCTTTATGTCTGACGTACACCCGAGTTATCCTTTTTGCACTATATTCGGATTACAAATTACAGGGTTTGCCGTGTACCATTTCTGGTTACGTGTTTTATCGCATGTTCACTGGCAGGTCTAATTATCTTTCTCTGATATGTACATACGTCACGATTTGCTCCCGCGGAACCGTTCTTACATATGATACCGGGCCATGCTCAATTTAAAAAAAAAAACGATAAGTGAGTTGTCACATCGGCTGTCGTGGGTGGGCACGTCGCAGTTTGCTATTGGGCCCGGATCACCAATTACTACATCGATGACCCTATGCCGTTCGAACAATGGGTAATCAGCTGCCAGTATACATAAGGGGTGACA